CTGGGTCTGGGGGTTCCCGGAAGTCGGCAGAAATTCCTACTTTATCAATAAAACTTTGAAAAGAAAAAAAATTAGGGATAATAAAAATAAATACAAAGAAATTGAAAAAAAAACAAAGCAAAGAGAATAGCAGGAGGGGTTGTGGAGAAAAAGGTACACTTCTCCACTATTAGTGGGAATGTAGAATAGAGCAATTACTATGGAAATAAGTGTGGAAATTTCTCAAAAAAAATAGGGTTAGAGGTCTCATTCAACCCAGCTATTCTCTTCCTGGTTATTTTTCCAGAAGAACTGAAAGCATCATACCACAGCAATATATGTGCACCATGTTTATAATAGCACAATTTGTCATAGCTATATCTTGGAGACAAACAAAATGCCCATCAACTGAGGAATGGATAAGGAAAATGTGGTATTTTTGCACAATAATGTATTATTGAACTATGAAAAGGATAAATTTGAGGCTTTAATCAGTAAGTGGATACAACTAGAGACCCTACTCTTGGGAAATAAATCAGACCCACATGTGCAGACATCGTATTGTCTCCCTAGTGTAAGAACCTGAAAGCAAAATAAAATCTGAAAGGTACAATAGATACTGTGAAAAGGGAATGAATCTGTTCAAAAGGAAGGAATGACTGAGCAGAAGAACAGGAGGGGTGGGGGCAGATTTATCTATGTATGTATGCAGGATGCCTTGGATAACTGTACTGTGCATCTCTGCTGGTCTATGGAAATGAGCAGTTAGTGCTTAATGTTTTTCTTTTTCATTTATTTTCCTCCTTCTTAATTTCTGATAACTTTTTTCCCAGTTTTGTATGCATATATCTGGTAATCTAAACAACTAAGTTGAAGACAATACTGCAATACAACAAATATTATTTTCTTTAGTGAAATTCTGTATTTCTAAAATTTTTATTATTGCTATTTTGTGTTCACTTTAAAAAAAAAGAGGCATGAATCTCCGTTCTTTTTTCTCTTTCTTTCTTTATTTTATTTTTATTTTTCGTATTTTAGGGAAGCGTCTACAGGGTGTTCAGAATCTCACTCTAGATCAGACTCATAGTGATCTGCCTGTTTACAGACTCCCAAGAGTTGGGATCATAGGTGCATGCCACCATGCCCAGTCTCAATTGCTTTCTCAGTGTGCCCTGGGGGAAGGCCCAGCATGTCAGGCCCAGGGATTGAACCTCTGGCCCCTGTACCTGCTTGCAGGCACTTTAATCCACTGAGTTACTTGGTCAGCTCTTCCATTCTTTTTTTTATGCACAGGAATACATCACTTTTCCAGTAAAATTTGTTGAAAAGATTGTTGATTCCCCTGCTCTTCTATAAATCCATTTATTATTATTTATATTCTTTATTAATGTTAGTTGCTTCAGACAGACCCAAATACGTATTATTTTTGTTTTTTGTTTTGTTTTTTTTTTTTTGCTTTTTGTTTTTGGTAGAACCAAGGATTGAACTCAGGCCCTTGTATTTGCCAGGGAAGCATTTATTCTACAGAGCCATCTCCCCAGCCCCTGTACTGGTTTTATCATTTTATTATTTTATTTAGGATATGTTATACTTTTTACTTTATTTATTTATTTATTTATTTTTATGTTCTGTGGGTACAGGATCTCACTGCACAGGTCGGACTTGTTATGATCCTCCTGTTTTCAGCATCCTCAACACAGGGATTGCAGGCGTGCTCCACCATGACCAGACTCTGTTGCCGGCTCAGTGCACCCAGGGGCAGACTGTGCGTGATGCCATGGATGAAATCCTGTTGCTGCATTTGCCAAACAGGTGCTTAGTCTGCTGAGCTATCTCACCTGCCCATTTTGACCAAATAATTTTTAAACTTTAATTTCCACAATCACATTTTTTAATTTTAAGAATTAATTTTATTTTTCATAGTTATTCATAGGAAGTACTTTTAAAAAGTATTCTCAGGTATTCTTTACAGACAAATATATGATATTTTTGTGTGGAAATTTAAAGGTTCTTAAAGTAAATTTGGTATTTTAGAGCATAGAGTTTAACAGACATCCAATTAAACCTGCTTTGTTGACTACATCAATTATGTATTTGGATTTCTACACTTTAACTTTTGCCCATTTGTTTTCTATTTTGCATAGATGGTCTAATTGTCTGTTTCTGAGGAGTTTCTTCCATGTTTTCTTATTTTCTGTTAATGTTGCTTCTGAGTTTTGACTCTGGGTTATCTGGTGCATAGTCATGGTGTAGGCTGATGAAGGTACATGCTAGATGATCCAGGCTAAGCAACAATGTCCTCTGTAACAATGTCCCCTGAAGGGTCATACCCCAGAAAGGAGGAAACACCTGGAGTCCACGCTGCAGGGAGGTCCTTTTTCTGGAGAAGTGGCTAAACAAGATACTTGTTACCACCCACAAGATCCCCCCACTGTCACTGCAATGTGCTTTTCCATTGCCAGGCATCTGAACTCAGAGATGAGACTGCCAACTGTGTCCCCAGAGGATTCTCCTGAGAATAGTGGCTGTGAGCAACTTTCATGGACATGCTAATTTGGCATGCCAACATCCAAAATCACCTTTCTTTCCTTTTTTTTTTTTTTGTATTTTTAGGGAAGGGTGTACAGGGTATTCAGGGTCTCACTACTAGATCAGACTCATAGTGATCTGCCTGTTTACAGCCTCCCAAGAGCTGGGATTACAGGAGTGTGCCACCACGCCCAGTCTCAACTACTGTCTCAGCACACCCTGTGGGAGGGGCCAGCATGTCAGGCCTGGGAATCGAAACTCTGGCCCCTGCGTCTGCTTGCAGGTGCTTTAATCTGCTGAGCTGTTTGGCCAGCCCTAAGTACCTGTTTTTTTTCTTTAAAAGAAATATTTGGGGGAGGATCAAGCCCTCATCACTGCCTCCTCTGCTCCCAATTTAGAGTCTTCTAAAACGACTGACCTTGCAGTGGACAACAAAGAGCTAATAAACAACCTGGTCTTCTGGGAAAATTAATTAGGTCTCCACCACCAAAGGTACAAGCGAATATGGGAGCTCTTTCTCCCAGAACTGTATCTCAGGTAAGTATTTTCTGGGTGAGTGGCTTTGCTTGAATACTTGTAGGTCAGTTTGCATCTGGACTGAACTGGAGGGCCCTGGAGGTGTACACAAACCAGAGTCCAGGCTGCTCCATTTTACTGTTATGTAAGCATTCAGGAGTGACAAATAGCTGGTGTCACCCTAGTTGCACAGGCAGGCGGCTGCGCAGCCCCTGCTGTGGTCATGATCAGGACCATCTCGGCTCCCAGGAACAAGCCTCTCCATTAGATGTGACCACATAGCAACAGCCATGACTAAGGCAGAATATCATTTAAAAATAGCTTTCTGCATTTTTCCATATAAACCTTAAGTTTTGTTTCTACAGCCTGTCGAGGTGTTCTGTACTACGGGGAGAAGTTTATATTGAAACACAAATGCGTATTTTAGAAAGTGTGCTACACAAATAGGAAGCTCTGTGAATTGTCTCAACAGAGAAACACGTGCACAGGCCATGACCAGCGGTAAGTCCCCCTTGTCACTTATTGCTACCCGAAGGGTGAGTGAAGGACATTTGTTATCTTGACTCTTTCTTCTCTTCCATTTGTGTATTTGGTACAGGATCTCACTACACAGATCAGACTCCTAGTGATTCTCCTGTTTTCAGCCTCTCCAGCATGGGGAGTACAGGCATGTGCTCCCATGCCTGGACTCTGTCGCCAGCTCAGTGTGCCCCAAGGGCCAGGCTGGAGCAGCATGTGTGACTGGGGAATCCAACCCTGGTCCCTGGGCTTGCCAAAGCAAGTGCTTAGTCTGCTGAGCTATCTCACCGCTCTGTTGTCCTGACTCTTAACATTCCAGGTTAGTGTTGGCCAGCAGGGAGAGACTTAAGGGCTTGGATATGCCTTAGTAGGCACAGTATACAATTTAACCTTCAGAGCAGGGATTGGTAGAATCCATGACCTTAGATTCTGGGGCTGGCTTGAAGGTGACCTTCAGGGTGGAAGGAGAAAGACTTTGGTGTTGGACAATCCACCTCTGGAATCCATGAGCCATGTGAGGGTTGGTCAGTCACTTCTATCAGCCTGCATATCCCTGACTCTTAAGTTGAAATAATAAACCCTGATTCACAGGATTCTATAGGTAGACAATAACTTAGCACTCAACATGGAATTCCTTCTCAATGTAAGTCACCTCTGGCAACACGGGTTAGACTGGACTCTGTGGAGCATAATGTTTCCTTAACAAACAGCTGCCTTTCCTTCTGCTTCCTTATTTTTGGTGTCTTACCATCCACGCTAACATACTCCTTAGCAGACTTAACAGAGGACACAAAAGCCAAACCTTCAACTCTTACAGGCTGGGTGCCCGGATGTACCCTCCCCTTCTGGAGGTAGCCTGCTGTTCAGAAGCTTGCCCAGGAGACATGTGTGCACATACAGACTTAAATTACTTGGTAGCTTGAAGAACAATACAGAACGAGACTTCTCCCTCTCATGCTCTCCATCCACTTGTTCTCCTCTCCCCAAGTACTCTTGTTCTTAATTTTCTTGACATTCTTCGAGCAAATTTTCCACACCTAAGCAAACATTTTTCTCCCCATTTTTTTTACATAGATGGTAGTATTGCTTTCTTCTTTAGCCTTATTCATTTAACAATCTGCCTTGGAGATTTTTCATACATCAATAGACCAATGGTATCTCCGTTCTTTTTCATAGCTGAATAGTATTCTGTGGCTTACATATAACTTAACAACTTTATTGAAAAATAATTCACATACCATAAGACTTACACATTTAAAGTATACATTCAATGGCTTTTAGTATACAGTCATGCAACTAGAACCACAGCTTTAGAAGTTTCATTGCATCCCCCCAAATCCTACACTCCATAGTTATCACTCCTCTAAGCCCCATACTTCAGACAACCACATTTGCCTACTCCTGACATTTCATTTAAGTGAAATCATAACACCTGTGGTCCTTTGTGACTGGCTTCTTTTACTAAGCACAGTGTTCCCAGGGCTCATCCATGTTGTAGTATGTATAGCCCTCCATTCATGTTTATTGCTATTATTCCATTGTATGGACATCCCACATTTCATTGACGTGTTGATTACTTAAAGGACATTTGGATTTTTCCCACATGGGGCTTTTGTAAATAATGCTGCTATAAAAATTCATGTTCAAGTTTCTGTGTGAACTTATGTTTTCATTTATCCTCAGTGTATACCAGGTAGTAAAATTGCTAAGTCACTTGGTTTACTTTATTTTTCATTATCTAGCCCCTCCCCATAGTGAAAATTTAGTCAAATTACATTAAAGACTAAAAACCTTCACTTGTGTGGTGGGGCCCTGACTTAGAGGGTGAGGAAAATGAGCCTGGGAGTCATGGCAGTAGACACCAAGTGCCTTTTCCTCAGGGTCCAGTTCTAGCTCTGTCCAGTCTATTCTGCCTCAATTTCAGCATTGAAATTGCTGTGGCTCCATCCAGATCTGTGTGGACAAATCGTGTTTCTCAGTGTGAATTGTGGGCCTGCTCCCTCCTGCTGGGTGTCTTCATCCCAGAGACTGTCCAAGGAAAAGCTGATGACTCTTGACCATGGGCTTTTCTGTTCCTGACTGTGCACCTTTGCCACACCTGGCCCTGGCCACACCTGCAGCCACACCTGCAACAAGGACAGACCAAGGCAGTTCAGAAGCTATCCAGGCTCTTCTGAGCTGGCCAGCCAGTCTCAGAGGCTGCTCCCTGCCCCTGCAGGCCTCAGTGAGCTGTGGGAGGGCCACAGACTGCTTCGTACAGGCAAGTTTTTAAAAATGCTTTCAGTTTAGACATTTTTAACAAACCAGTGCCAGGAAATGTTTTTTCTTCTGAGCCAAGAGCCAAAAGACAGATCTACTGGGGACATCTGATTCATTGACTAAGAGAAAATTCACCCACTTGCTGTCTAAGTTTCTGTTCAGTGCTGCCTTGAAGTTCTTGAGTGCTCGGGAACCTCAGTGCTCCCCAAGTGCAGGAGGACTTGATCAGAGGCAAAGAGCCCCTCTTCTCGTCTTTTGTTCCCAGGGCAGAAGTTGGAACTTGCCTGCCGAAAGTCAAGGTCACGTTAGCTCATGGAAGGTGAGTATTGTGCCCAGCTCTAAAATTGCTTATTTCTTATCGCTAAATAACAATAGCAGCACGGGGCATCTCTGCTATAGGATGTGTTTGTGCATTAAGATAGAATCTTTTACCTTTTGTTAAAAAAGTAAAGTACTCTACATTGCAACAATTAATGAGTTTCTTTCACACGGAGAATGTGCTACTTTAAAGTAATTGTTCTATATTCTTGGTCAAGTTTATTTTATTCTGTACTTGAATACATCCCGTCATTCTATAACAATTTCTAGAACATTCTGTTGTCATAATTAAAATTTACTCTCTTCTTATTAGGCTGAGTTGTAGATTCCTCCCCATTTTAGACTTCAAAGGCTCAAACCATTCCACCAATGGTGTTATAAAATTCATGATTGTCAGATTGCTTTTTTATGAGTGACTAATTTCTGTAATTAAATCTGCTCATTTATCCTAGGCTTTGTCACATGTGGCTTGGGGAGTTATTTTTAAATAGCTTCTCCCTTCATCTAAAACTAATAGGATTATTTACTCATTCTGGCAATTAACGATAATAAAAAATATTGACCTCTCTGACTCTTGCACTAGAAAAACGAATTAGCAACAAACAAATTTGAAGCAGGAGGTACTTACAGAGCCCCTTTGGTCAGCCCATGACAAATCTGAATACACCTCTACTCCTGGAGACCACGAAATGGGGGTTGCCACCAGTAAAACTCCACTGGGAAGGGTGTCTGAGGACCATGAGCTACTCTGGTTTTCATCGGTTCACTTTCTTCCCTGGCTCCCCACACAGGGAACACAGTTTTGAATTAAACAAAAAGTGAGATCTTTATCTTCTGACCTGACAAGGGCACAGAGCGTCTCTTTGCAGGATCACTGCACCAAAGAGAAAAGCACCAACTTGTAATCGTACTTTTAAAATTAATGTCTTTTTTAAAAAACTAAGTGCACAGGGTACAAAATGTACAAAGGCACACTGTGAGAAGTACATTTTCTTCCCCTACCTCTCTTCCCCGGAGGTAGCCACAGGGCCAATTTCTTGAGAATTTTCCGAGGTACTACACATGGCTTTTGTTTACATAAGTGTCCCCCGAAGGCTGTGTGCTAAAAGCTGGGCCCCCAGTTTGTAGTAAGGAGTGGAACCTTAAAGGGGTGGAGCCTAATGGGAGATTCTCAGGTCACTGGGGGTGTGGGCTTGAAGAGCCTATTGGGGCTCCAGCCTTCTTGTCTCTCTCATTCTTTCTTAGCTGTGATGAGGTTTAATAATTAATTCATCTCAGATATTTATAAATTAATTTATCTCAGGTATTTGTTACACAGAAGGAAAACTGACAAACACATATATTTACATAAACCAAAGACAAATAAAATACCTTCCCCCTTTTTAACATTTGTTGTTGCACTATGACTCTATGACTTCCCTCTTTTTTTTTTTTTTTTTAGCTATTATTATTTTGTTCCTAAAAACCTTTCCATGGCTGCATTGTTTCATGGTGTGGACAGTCCAAAATTTACTTACTTACTTTCAGTTTTTGAGACATGGTCTTGCTATGTACTCCAGGCTTTGAACTCGCTCAGCATACTAGCCTGGCCTCAAACTCACAGCAGTCCTGGGTGTGGGTGTTACAGGTGTGCACCACCACATCCAGCCCTCCAAAATGCATTGAGACATCCCCAAATGTTGAAGCTGATCCCAAGCATTATTCAGCAAAAACAAGGATGTAGTATGTCCCTTTAAGAATATTCTCATCCCTTGAGATCCTTGGGTATTGGTTCCAGGGTCCTCACAGATACTAAATCCACAGGTGCACAAATCCTTTACATAAAATGGTGTAGTGGTTTCATATTAAATATGCAATCCTTCCATATACTTTATTATTATTATTATTATTATTATTATTATTATTATTATTATTTTAGTACCGGGGATTTACCTCAGGCTTTATGCCCCTGAGCTGTCTCCCCAGCCCTCACTCATACTCTTTAGATCATCTCCACATTACTTACAATAACTCATGCAATGCAAATGCCATGAGAATAGTAGTTACATTGTGCTATTTAGGCAATAGTTACAAGGAAAAAGATCTGTACCTATTCAGTACTGTCTTCATTCTTCCTTTTGCAATATTTCTGATCTATGGCCATTGGAATCCATGGTTTCAGAACCCATAAATACAGAGGTTGTCTGTTCATTGTTTCAGACATAGTCTAATGAATCTTCAGGATAAATTACTAAAGAAGACTTCTTGGGTCGAAGGTAAGTGCATTCATAGATCCTGTGCACATGCGCTCTGTATTGCTTGTACGAATTTACATTTGATTAGTAATTACACGGAGCCCCACCCCCAGGAACGGTAGCTACATGGTGTATTTTGAAACATCACAAGTTTGCAGACCTTGTAGGTTACAAAATGTCATCTCTGTTTTAATTTTCCTTTTCCATAGAAGTGACATGGGGAGGTCTATGCTTGCATTTTTTTTCCCCTGTATAATTTATTTGTCCATGTCCTTGGCACATTTTTCTACTAGGGTTTTAGAATTTTTTTTTTTTTTCCTACAGAACTGACAGTCTTAAGAAAATGAGCCATGTAAATTACAACATATTTCTGGTTTGTCCTTTGTCATTTGGTTTTATGGTATGTAATAACTTAACAAATGTAAAGTATACTTGAATTTAACTTTTCTTTTATTCTTTCTTCTGGTCTTTTTGTGTTATGCTTAGAAAGGATATTACATTCTTAAGAAAATAAAGAAAAATTCTACCCTAGTTGTTTCTAGTACTTATTTTTGTTTAAATATCTTTTCTTTCTTTTTTCCTTTGTTTTTTCTTTTTTGTATCAGAGATTGAAATCAGGACCTTGCTTTTCCCAGGCAGGTGCTTAAGCTGTTAAGCCATCTCTCTGGCCCTTGTGTTAATATCTTTGATTTATCTGGACTATTTGGAGAAGTATAGTGAGAAATGCAGACCCAAAGCTACATGGCACCAACACTGCCTCGTGAATAATCCACCTGTTCCCTACTAACCGGAAATGCTCCTTTATCATCCACATAGGAGCAGTTCCTCACCTACAGGTAGAGTCCTCTCTCTACTCTGCTGTTCTTCTTGCCCTTGTATCAGTGCCACAATGTTTTAGCCTCTTTTTTTTATTTTAGGGAAGGGTCTACAGGGTGCTCAGGGTCTCACTACTAGATCAGACTCATAGTGATCCACCTGTTTACAGCCTCCCTAGAGCTGGGATTACAGGGACGCAACACCATGCCCAGTCTCGATTGCTGTCTCAGTGCACCCTGGGGGGCGGGGCTGGCATGGTAGACCTGGGATTGAACTCCTGGTCCTTTCACCTGTTTGCAGGCACTTTAATCCGCTGAGCTATTTGGCCAGGCTGTAGTTGTAGTTTTATAGAAAGACATAGTAGACAAAAATTTTGCTTGATTCTAAAGATTCCTTTAAGTCCAGAACAAAGTCAAGCTGACATGTGAGTTTGCTAACTTCATTTATTAAAAAAAGGAAATTAATTTCTTTGGTTGGCTAGTTTTAAATTTATGGTTAGGCTAATTCATTCATCACTCTTTTCTTCCCAGATTTTTTCTATTTACCCTTGGCAATTACTTTTTCTAAATTAATAGTTTGTCTATGTATAGATTATTTGGGAAGACTATAAGACTATTTTTTGATGTTTCATTTCCCATTCTAGAACTTTGTGTTTTGAACTCTAGATTTTAAATAGAAAGATAGAAAGGGAAGGAGGGAGAGAGGGAGAGAGGGAGAGAGGGAGACAGGGAGAGAGGGAGACAGGGAGAGAGAGATACAAAAAGCTGTTGGGCTCTTGCCCACTCCACAAAGAATGCCTCTTTACTTCAGTGGTCCCAGCTGGTCACTGACACCAAGTCCACACAGATATGAATACTGGCTTGACTATGTGGCCCTAAGCCTGAAACCCTTTATCTCACCTGGACCTCTGTGTTTCTCAGTGATCATGCGGATGCCCCTGGGAGCCTCCAACCAGACAAGTGCCACCTCCATCCTGAATGACCCCATGGCTGAGAGGAACACCACCAGCTCCAGCAGGGCTCTGCGCCTGCTGGATGGGATGAGTGCCGCCTGGTACATCCTCACCATCATTGGCTTCTTTGGGGTGATTTTCCTCTTTCAGATGGCCAGCAACATCCTCAGGAAGAATGATAAGTCCTTGGAAGACACTTATTATTCCAGTTTGACCCTTGAACTAAAAAGGAAAGGGCTCCAGAGCAAGGTGGCCAAATGTTCCTCAGTGATCATTTGCAACCCGGCTGTCCTACAACCTAGCCAGACTAGCGTGATGTCCAAGTTTGGGAACAGTGAGCCTCGGACTGGAGCCCATGGCATTTCTTGAATACCAATCCAGCATACCTCCAAGGGGGACTCAGCCTTTTTGAAGTAGTTTGAGTTTCTTGGAACCTGAAGAAAGGAGCTAAGCCCTTGAATGGGGATGAAAGAGCATCACAATGTTGTGGGTCCTTCTGGCTGATGGGTGTGTGGCCAGACACCAGTAGCCTGTGTCCCTCTGAGGCTTTCTGATGCTTTAGGGTTGGGGGAGCAGAAGCCATATTTGCTGTGCCCCAGTAAAGCCTGTGCTCTAGGAAAGGGAATACATATCCAGCGTTCTCAGAGGAATCCAGAATTCTCCAAGGAAACAAATGGTTTCTTGTCATGGAAAGGCTGCTTTGGAGTTAAATGCTCAGATTAAAATTCAGCTTTTAGATGAATAACGTTTGAGTGTCTGGTTATTCACCTGGAACCTGTGAAAGTTGGGATAAATTGAACCAAAGGGCCATTTCATTTTAAAGATCCTTACACTATTGAATTCAGAACCAAAATTGTTTATACCAGAAGTTAAAGATTCTTCATTTTTACTGAATGGGTGGAGTGCATTAGAAAACACACTTGTTTTGCAGTTAGAAGCTCTGGGCTTCACTCTGGGCTTGATCATCACTGCTTTTGTGTCTGTGTACACACCACACCACCTCGCTGGAATTCCATTTACAGATAAAATGAGAGCACCATGCCAGATCGGTCACTCCTACCAAATAGATAGAATCTGATGAGATCACATGTGTGAGTGAAGAGCAAAATAAATATATGTCTTGTTGTGATATTGATGATGATTGTGGCAAACAGTGGATGCTGGTGATAGTGCTGGTGGCAGTGGTGGTTGGTGCTGTGGTGGTTGATGGTAAAGATTGGTGTTGACTATGGTGTTGATGGTGATATTGATGGTGGTGGTAGATGAGTCACAGTGGTGGAGGTTGAGGAGAATGAAGAGTTGGTATGTAATTCACAATGATGGCAGTGGTGGAGTGATGTCATTACAGGAAATGACTAATTCATTAACAATAGGTCTTTAGCCATAGTTATGTTGCTTTCTTCTGCAGGAGAGCCCACCTGTGTATCTGTTGATGGTCCATAGTGTGAATTCGTAACAAACAGGGCAAAATGGAACTTTAAAAATTACAATGTTTTCTCCTAGGAACTAGCTATTTCTGCAAATCTCCTTCTTTCATCTCTTCCTTTCTCTTCCCAGATGAATGGACAGAGTTTGTAGGTGTTGGCTCCAGGTAGTCAGAAACCAGTTTCCATTTCACAGGGAAGGAAAGGAGCAGGACAGGGCCAGAAGGAATGAAGCAAGTCTGGGATTGTCTGTGGTCTCATTGTATCCCTCCCACCTCTGTTGCTTACTATGAAAGGCTTTCCCACACATGGATGCAGGGAAATGGTGACTTATTGCAATACAAGCTCCCTCCATCTCTTCACAGGTAGCTTGAAATAAAGTCTGCCTTATTCCATTTCACCAAAATGAGTGGCCTCCCATGGTTTGTTTGAGGAGCATCGAGTAAAGGGAGCTGGGTGACTGGTAACAAACTGAGTCTGTGAGATTCAGGTTTTACTGAAAATAGTCATCACCTTTGCATTTCATCACTTTAAATACAATGTGACCTATTTAAATGTCTTATAATTGTCTCTTGCTTATATATTTGTGCAAGAAATAATGTATATTTGTATGATTGATTAGGGAGATGTGATCAGCGAGTTTCAACAAGTGACTTTCAAAAGTTAAAGAAAAATTATATATTGTTTGAATTTCTATAAAGTTCATCAGTTCAGCTTTTGAAGAGTCCCTCCTGGGCTAGAGATAAATTTATTTTTCCTACCTGTAGACTGCAATCTTCAGTCATCTCCTATGATCTCATAAAACTCAGGATTAAATCCCACACTTTTATTTTGGTGAAGTGGGAAATACTTTCAAGGATTTTTCCTCTTTTCAGGTTTTTTTCTTTTTTCATGATCACGATCATCCCACAGGTTGGAAACGAAAGTGTTAGTTTGATGATATAATTAAGGCAGGGCTTCATGATTATGTTTGAGATGCAAGACAGAACGCAACAAGATGAAAAGGTAAGGGAAAATATCATTGGTAGTGAAAGGGAACAGAGAAAGCAGTACATGGGAGTGAAAGGGCAAATTTTAAGTGAGGATAGTTACTTAGCAGTCTCCAATTGCTGGCTGTATTTGAAGAATACATGTCTGACTTCTCAACCCAAATGCCAGTCCCATTTCCATTTGGGGATCTGTATGGCTCTAGGGAAGCTGAAACTAGCTCAAGGGTTGGAATGAGAAAGCACTGGAGGCTAATCCAATCAGTGCATTCTCTCTCTTGGCAGGACTGGGCCAAGGAAGGACACACAGACCCACGTAGGCCAACCCAGTCAGGAACCAGAAGGGATTAAACAGAGAATTCTAGAACACGAAGATTCAGTCTTCATGGGACCAAAAGCAGATCTGATTCTGGAATTATTTGATTCATTATGTAAAGAAGAAGCCAACTCAAGGGCAAAAACATAAGTGAGATCTGGTTGAGAAAATTAAAAGGATTGTAGCCTTGCTCAAAGCCTTAATTTACCACTGCAATTTTTCAGTTTGTGAGTCAATAAATTCCCTCTATTAAGTCCATTGCAGGTACACTTTTTGTTTCCCAAAACTAAAAATATCCTAACTGATACCTTTGGATACATACTCTCCTGAAGGAAATGAGCCATAAAGGAAAATTCTAAAAGGGAGGATGTGGTATGTGGGAGGTAGAAACCATTTCTTTCAGCATGATTTTTATATTTATAGGGGTTTTTTTTTGTATTTTCAGTAAATACAAAAAAAAACCCTATAAATAAAAGTATTCATTCATACTTTTCTTGAATGAATAGAGCATGTGTGAGCACCATGACATTAACATTTAATTCAGAGAATGAAAAGAGATTTGCAAGTGCCACCAGCCCTGCTACAGACAGGAACCCAGCTTGCTGATTCCAGTACTCCTGATACCATATCTGTCTTTGTACCTATGGGATTCCCCCAGGAGTTAGTGGGTAAGTTTAGATAAAGGTCTTCTTCTGAAACAAAAATTATTTTAAAACAACATGGAATGGATCCATAATGGTTTCTTCAAAGTATCTGCAGCTAATGGTACCAGGGTTTGTACTGAAATCAAATCAAAATTAGAAGAGTTTCCCCAGGTGATTGGAACATATCTATTCTAAATAAAATGTTGTCCACTCAATTGCATTTTTATTTGATTTGTGATGTGATTATCACATTTTAGAAAAGGATTTATGAAAAACAATTTAAAAAGTAAACATCTATTGGCATTTATTCAGCCCAGAGTTAACAGGTGTCCTCTGATTCTTGTAACTGATATTGTTTACACTTCAACAAGAACAAAAGAATGTTAACTCAACCTTCAGATAAAGTTTATGAAGTTCTTTTATTGACAACAGTGAAAGAATTTTGCATAACTAATACAGTGATGTCTCAGTTCATGAACACTTTTGTTTGCAAGTTGGTTCACAAACAGAAATGTTTGTCCAAATTTTGGTTTTGTTTACAAAAACAAAATTCTGCACTGGGTGATGAATACAACCATGGCAATCTGTTCCACACAAGCACAAAGGTGGACATCTTTTCCAAAATAGTAGAACAAATTAAGTTCATGAACTAAGGTATCACTGTGTATAGAGTAATAAACATAGCACACATACTGTATGATTTTAGGGAAGGCAGCAGAGACAACTCACAAAATCAGGAAAGAGTAGTGGCAGACTATTCTAAGAACCTCACTCCATGACCCCAGCTCGGTTCCTGCCAGAAAAGAATTCAACTCTCACATCTATTTCTTATGCTTCTGCTTCATTAAGTTCCATATTTTAGTGCTAGAGCAGCCCACTGAATCAGGATAGAACATGGGCTGGGGATGGGTGGGACTAGAGAGTAGAAGACTCTGATTGGCTGGTTCTGTATCATGTGATCTATCACATGACCACAGGCACTTAAGTCTATAAAGAAAATCCTAATGAATTTTTGTTTAGATATTGCATCTGTTGTGAAACTTGATAGTTTCTTTGAATTTTTAAAAAAATCTTTTATTTAGTTATTTACTTGATACAGGGTTCTGCAACACAGCTCAAACTCAAAGTGATCCTCTTGTCACAGCCTCAACACCCACAAGGATTACAGGTGTGCACCACCATGCCTGGTTTCCGTGTCAAGCTCAGGCACGACAGGTGGTACTGGTATCAAACCATGCTCCTTTTGCTTGCCAGGCAGGCCCTTAGATCACCAAGCTATCTCCCCAGCCCTGACTGTTCCCTTCAGACAACACTTCATACACAATGGGATAGATCAAAGAGAGAGAGTTTTCAACAGAACCCCAAAGATAGGAACTGTGTTTCCAGGTGTTTGAGGCCAGAAAAGGCTCATTCTTCAGCACGGAACCACTCTAAAAGAGGAAAGGAGAGCAATTTTGCTTCTCTGTAGGGAAAAGAGAGAAGAAAGGGAGGGAGAAATGGCCTAGGAATCTATAGGCTGGAAGCTCGTATTGAAAAATGTCTCTTCCCATGACATTACCACCAATACTGTCACAACCCGGATCTTCTACCATGTTATGAAACTGGTAGAATAAGTTCTTGGAGTGAGTGACTTGGAAATCAGTAAGGCTATACATTCCAAACAGATACAGATGGAATAGCAGCAGTTTAGAGGCAGAGATACTTTCACGTAGGGCAAGGCCATTTAGTTTAGTTGAAACTAAACCATCAAGAAGTAACAAGAACACAGGAAGGCAGTACAAATTGACAGTGGGGCCAGATATAACCACATCATAGTAGGGTAGGTACAAGAGTAAAAGAGAGAAAGGTTGGACTTGTAGGAGACAAGAAACCTAGGTCCACCCAGTCACATGCTTGTGCAAATATTGTTCTGCTATCTGTTTCTCACTGGACCATGGGAATCTTATTTTAAGAGTAAGGACACACCATGCTGATGCTGGTATTGCCCATTCATTACAAAACACAGCATTTGCAAACATGCTTTAGAAATAGATAGCAATACTTGTTTTTTAAAAAAATAAAATGAAGGCATTTGGTATGTACCAGGCATTAAGTGCTCTCCACGAATTACTGCAATAGCTAATTGTCCATCCTCTGTGCCCTCCAAGACCCATGTTTGCCCATTTTTCAACACCCATAAATAAAGCTGGAGGCAGACACTTCACAATCATTTGAACAGAGGAAGTTTCATAGAAAAAAATATTATTATACTGTAAGTACATAGTGTTCTCCAAAGATTCATGTTTTGAGGGCTTGGTCCTCATTGGGGTTCAGAGGTGGGGTCTTTGGAAGTTACCAGGTTGTTATGAATTCACAGCTGCCTGGGCTTTTAGGAAGCAGAGTCCAGTTGGAAGAAGTGAGTCCTGGGGACTCTTT